GGCTCCAAGGGCTTGCCTTGGGGTTTAGGGTTTAGGGTTTTAGGGTTTAGGGTTTAGGGTTTTAGGGTTTAGGGTTTAGGGTTTAGGATTTAGGGTTTAGGGTTTAGGGTTTAGGGCTTAGGGTTATAGCCCTCAGGGTCCAAGGACCCAAATCATAGGGCTCTAGGGCTAAAATTCCATTCATATTGTAGTAGTTGCGCTCTACAAACCCTATATGCTATTTGGGTCCTTGGACCCTTAAGGTAGGGTTTAGGGTTGAAGGTTTGGGGTTTAGGGTTCTAAGGGTTGAGAGTTTAAAGGGTCTAAGGTTTATGCGGCTCAGGGTGTAGAGGGTTTGTGGAGGGTTCACATCGTTCAGGGGTTTAGCGGCGTAGGGCTTGGGGTTTATCGGGTTAAGGTTTGGGGGGTGGGATTTTGGGGCTAGTGTTCAGGGGTTAGGGTTTAGGGGGTTCAGGCTTAGGGGGTTAGAGTTTAGGATTTAGGGCTTCTGGATTGAGAGAGTTAGGATTTTAGAGGTTAGGGTTTTGGGGTTTGGCTCCCAGGGCGTGCCTTGCGACAACTTCTTTATGGTATCACACTTTAGATCTCAAGTCCTTCACCTTAAGCCGAGTTCCTAGACTGTCAACTACCCTCAGTCCTGGTGAGTTTAAGTTCTGGAGTGTAGGACATTCCTCGGGGAAGCCTCTTTCAGCTTCGAAATGAGATAGTCCTCATTGTAGGGATCAACCCTAAGCCCTAAACCCTAAATCCCTAAACCCTAAACCCCAAAACCAATCACCTAATAGTTGGATAAATGGGATGGTGCTAGGGATGTTGCTATGAGTAATTGTCAGACAGGTCTTGAAGAAACGTAGAATGAGGATGCTGGTGACCTAGTAATCTCTTGGCACTAGGCTTTTGAGGTTTAGGGTTTAGGGCTTATAGCCTCTTAACCCTAAACCCTAAGCCCGAAACCGCTAGCATAGTATACAGGACTAATACTGGGGAAATGTAGGGGGCTGAAAGGATTGGAAGATCCCCCCGAAGCAGCATCCCACTCTACATGTAGAAGCTCTCATATGCTGAAAAGCTGTTTCCCTAAGGGTCCAAGTACCCAATAACCATATAGTTACCCATAACCTATGCTATAGTTACTATTATCCTAAGCCCGAGTAGCTGAATATTGGGTACTTGGACCCTCTGGGTTTGTAGGTTCACAGCCAAGTAGGCGGAGTTATAAGCAGGACGATTCTCAAATTTGCTCGAATCAACTACATTCTTTCTATGATCCGAACTTGAACTACGATACCCGAAGCTAGCTGCCGACAGCTGCAAGTCGACAGGCACGAACCACATCCTCCTCAGGTATCTGAGGAGAGGTCACCGAACAGAACATCGCGGGTAAAAGCTGCTACCTACCCCCGCAGGGTCCATGTACATACACTTGGAGCCTAAATGACTCCTTTTTTGTGGGTACTTTAGGGCCCAGCGCGTATACATATAGGTACATGGACCCTTTGGGTACCTCGACCCTCCAGGTACCCTTAAACACAATTCCCAATCCTAAGCCCGAAATCCAAGACCTGAAGCCCTAAATCCTAAATCCTTCAACCGTCAACCCTTATAGCAGGTGGAAGGAGGGCCTAACTGACCACAGCCTCATCTCGCTCCCCAACCCGAATGTATAACCCCAAACTGTCAAGACTGAAAGCCAACCCATGGCTACTCTGTTTGGGTTTGGCTTTAGGGTTTAGGGTTTGGGTTTAGGGTTTAAGGTTTTGGGTGGGTTGGTTATGGTTTCTTGGTTCGGATGACAGTATACTTCCCAAAGAGGAACTACGTAGGCGGGTCTGGCTATGCCCTTCAAGAATGCTTAGGCCCAACTCCCAACTAGGAAGGGACAAACGCAAGCTACAACCAAGTGTTATCCTGGTTTAGGGTTTAGGGGTTTAGGGTTAGGGGTTTAGGGTTTAGGGTTTTAGGGTTCAGCGTTTAGGGAGTCCCCTTTCTTGACTGTTAGAAATAACATTTGTGCTTCGTAAAAATAAACATGTACCTACCAAGACTTCCTTTCCACCCGCGCATCCCCAGAAAGCTCAATATCCTAGGGGAACAGACCTTAAATCATATTGGCGACCTTTTATGGTTTAGGGTCTATTCTCTAATCGCAGGAGTTAAGATATATTCCCTAACGAAGGATATCGGGCTTCTGCGGGTTCCAAGGCTACAGCATTTCCCTAAACCAGGGGCCCGCGCAGAGAAAACTCCAGGAACGCACGCTGCAGGTGAAGTTCCCTGCCAGGTTTTACCTACCGAGGCTCTAAGGACTCATACTTTGAGGCTTTTGGGCCCAAAGACCAAACTATTAAAGGCTTTTGGGCTATGTTGAGGTTTAGGGCTAGAGTTTTTACAGGTGTTGGGTTAAGGGTTCTGCATCTCAAGTCCAAGCATTCGCCTGTCAAGCAGCTTTATCAAAGAATCCCCACGCGCCCATTGGGTCCCACACCATTGTGAAACTTATGTAACCTTGAATTCTAAACCCTGAACATCCCTGAGCCCTAACCCTGTTTTGTTGGCATCTTCTTGCTGCTCTAAACCCTAAACCCTAAACCCTAAAAGCCCACCTTCGGCCTTGATCCCTAGGCTTCCAGCCTTTCAGGTTCCACCCATGAACATGTTTAGGGTTTAGGGTTTTAGGGTTTTAGGGTTTAGGGTTTAGGGTTCAAGGTTTAGGGACAAGTTTATGACCTTATCCACTACATTCTGACCTTGCCCACCAAGTTTATGAGCTTGCTCATGTTAGATCACATATTTGGTGGGAAAGGTCAATCATTTGGTGGGCAACGTCAAAAATTTGGTCATTAGGTGGGCAGGTCGAGGAGAACTGGCCCACCAAACTTATGACCTTGTCCACCGACCCATTAACATTGACATTGTATGTTAAAGAGAGGTGTAGGGCTTAGGGTGAGTAAACAGAGTTCCCATATAAAAAAGGCTCTCTACATAATCTGTTGGTATCTCCATCTTTTTGAGCTCTGCCACAAATAATTGTAACAATGTACTCATAAAAGAGAGCTTTGTATCACATGTGCTGTTATCTTTATCTTTTTAAACGGTCTAGGTTACTCCGGGTAAGCCATATCTGAACCCCAGCAGTAGGTAAAGTAATGGCCTGGGCTACTCTCGGTATAGGTTAGGCCCCCCCACAGGACAGACCACGAAACCCTAAACCCTAAACTCTAGCCTTGACAATAAGGCCTTTTTGGAGTTTGCATGTTGGCATTGGGGAGGGCAAAGGGTTACATGAGCTATAGTCTAAACTCGGGAAGTACATAGATAAGGGGGATCCTAGGAGTTTAGACTATAGCTCACATGGAGCAAGCCTATGCCAGGGACTATGTCGCCCTGTGTACTCTGCTGGGGACCGCAACGGACTGTCAGGTGGCTACAACAGATGTCATTGGGAGCGGATCCGCTGTAGACCATTCCCTCAATAAGTCAAACATAGTTGATGCAAGGCCTGACCGGTGCATTTGTAACCTTGTTGAAGCAGAGTAGCGATGGGAGTCAAGCACAGATGCTGAATCAACAAGCCGACCTTTATGATCCTCGTATCCCTTAATGGTAGTGTTTAGTAGAATACAAACCAAAATTGCAGAAGGTAACTCAAAAACCCTTAACCCCTAAGCCCTAAACCCTAATAATCCCTTCAAAGCTTCTGGATCAAGCTCAGGCCCTGGCTGAATGAGCACGTACCTGGCAGTCTCCAACCCTAACAGGGCTTGCCACAAACCAAAACGCAAAGAGGGTTTAGAGTTTAGGGTTTGGGGTCAAAGCCTTGGCCCTGAAAGCCTAAAGCAGAAGCGTAAAAACAAACGGAAGCCTTCAACTCTTAAACCCTAAGACCCGAATCCAAAAAACACCCTTCTTTCTATTGATTGTATAAGGAACTTAGAACCCGTGAAAGGGTACCCTGCACCCTAAACCCCTTCGGAACCACTGGGCTTCGTGGGCTCTTCACAAGGAAACCAAGTGGAGGAAAGGTATAGAGGTCGTGTGCTGGTTTAGGGGTATAGAGCTCGGAGGTTTGTGGCTGGAGGTTTAGGGCTTAGGGTTTAGGGTATAAAGGTCGGGTGTATGGTTTGGGGCTTAGGGTTTAGGGTTGAGACCACAAGTAAGGCCTAGTTAGGGTTGACTGCACCGTGCAGTCGTTGGATGTTGAAAAAACGAGTCTGAAATTCCTCAGTCTCTTCATCGTTAAGGCTTATTATGTCTGGCAGAATGTCCCTTGGGCTTTCTGTAATCTGTACTCACGTTGAGACACTGCGACACCACCGGGTTCAATGAGCGGCTCCTCTACGTTGAGCTCCCTCTTGTTGGTCTCGACTCCAGCCCATGTTTTGCCAGCAACGCGTGGGCCCAAGCGCGCCGAGATGGAGATGAGGTTGCTCGACGCCGCTTGGCTTGAGGCTTCTTGTGTACGAATAGCCAGTAGTTGAGGTTTCAAGTCTGCAAGCCAAAAACCCATGACAACAAAAAGCCACCCCTCAGCCCCTCAACTGGTTGTCCTTTACCCCGACCCTTGTAACCCTACACCATATCCTTGAATTGAACAAGAAACCCTCCATAAACGCCAAGCCCGAAACCCCACTGGACTACACAAGTACCATCCTAAGACAACCTAAACTCTAAACCCTGAAAGTACAACCATAAATTATGCCTGGAGAGATCAACCCCCACCCTAAGACGATGAATATGCCAACACTTTAGGCACAAAGCCCGCTGTTTTATAAACACATCGGCTACTGCAGATAACCCCGGACCCTAAGCCTACAATGAAACCCTCCTACACAACTTCCTCTTAATCTACGCCGATGCTCATATTCAGGGCCACTCTTCTCTATAACAAAACACAAGGTCCATTTCATGGTTCATGTTCTTTTCCAGGTGGTTCTCAACTTTGCTATCTATTCACACCCTAGAACCGAATACCAGAGCCCTTAACACTGCAGATATCTCCCTATAGGACCCATGGCTTTTATATATGGTCAGATGGACACCAGCCATGTTAGCTGGCAGAGGTCCCAAATTGGACGCACAACAATAATGCCTGCCAAATAGCCCTAGGGTAAAAGGAGCTTACTGGGAATCTTAAACTGTCAAGCTCAAGAATATAGCAGTTATGTCCCTAAACCCTAAACCCGTATTCCCATTAATTACATTCCTACTTAATTCTTTCGCTTCCCTGCTTAGGGGTTCTCATGAAAGTCCCTGTATAGAGATTCCAGATACACCAGCCCAAAATCACAATATACATCCTTCTTCAAGGTTAACCGAAGCCCTTATAAACCCGCAGATAACCCCAGCTTCCGTTCGAGTTTTATTGTTCTTGTTCATGTGACTCTCCATTCTTGGGGTACGATGTCCCCAAACCCTAAACCCTGAAGCCTAAACCCTGAACCCTAAACCCTGAACCCTAAACCCCAAACCCCAAACCCTAAACCATACACATCCCTCAAGAATCCCTTTTAGATGGGCGAATCTTCAAGTCCTGAGCCGCAAGCAAAACACCATATATAACCCTACGTCCCAAACTCAACCCTAGGGTTTCAGGGGGTTAGCTTTTAAGGGTTTTTAGTTTAGGGTTTACGCCCTAAACTTCATATAGCCCTAAATCGGTAAGAGTGTTTTTTTTGTTGGTCTTTTTTGTTGTTTGGGCTTTTCAGGTGTTTATGTTTTCGCTGTTTGGGCGGGGGCGTGTTTTGTTTTGCTGTTTGGGCGGGGGACGGGAGTTCACTCACTTACCGGTCCGCCTGGGTCGTCTTTAAGGGACCCAACAACAAAAAAGACCAAACAGCAAAAAAAAAAAGAAGTTCCGCCCTAAAGGCCAAAAAAACGAACGCTCTTCGTGGCACCGTCTCCAGCCATTGCCTCTCAAGGCTTGGGAGAGGGATGTGCGCGCACTTAAGTGAGAGCGCCAATCAGGTTCTGGGACTGGTAGCATCAGTCATGTCGTGCCTTGGCCGCGGCAGCTTCTGCTGCTTCCGTCTCATCCGTCTCACAGCGCAGCTGAACCAAAGCCTGGTCAGGTGAAAGCTGCACGCCATGTACAACTCTGTGTCGAAGTGGTTGAGGACTCTGAGTTTGAGAATGTAGCGCGCAAGATGCAGGCCACATTGCCTCAAATGAAAATGAAGTTGAACAGCCAGTGGTCATCGAGTACACCTGCCAAAAAAAACTGCGGCTATAACCTGTTAAGATGCAAAATGGATTCGCTGTTTCTTTCCATTGTTTCGACCTCCGACGGGTGGCCTCTGCCTAAGCACAACTGCACTGGCTTCCAATGTAATCCGAGCACTAGATTAAGAAAATGGACCAAACTTTGGCAGATGTATGCTCCAAAGACTAGCTACAATTTGGTGCCTTTTGGTATGGGGAAAAGGGACTACATTAAAAGCAATAAGGAACTCATCCTGATAATGGAGACTCAACACAATCCTATTCATCTTTTAATTAATATCATTCCAAGTGCCCCAATGACCCAGCAATGATTTTCTTTCGGATTTTTTAAAGAGCTTCAGTACATCATTCCTTGTCAGTGTTTAATAAAGGTCCAAGAGGCCCAATGACCGAAGAAGGATTTTCCTTTAATCTGGCGCCCTTCATTCCTTATTCTGGGGGGGACCCTCCAAATTAATCGAGTGCTCGGATTACATAGTACCTACATGGATGTGTTGACTTGTCTTGTTTTGTTTGTTTGGCTTCAGCGCCTTCGCCTTGTGTTCCGGCGCTGCTAAACACTGAAGAAGCCATGAACCCTAGATGTCCCTATATGGTAGTTGCTGAGAATAGGGGGTCCCCAATATTGACCCCACTAAACGATAATCCTTTTCACGGGGACCCACGAAACAGTTACCCTTTATTGTAGGAAACCCTAATCCCTAATCCCTAAACCATAAACCCTGTATATGTATATATATATATACACATGAATATATATATATATGAATAAGCATATCCCATTGTATCCCTATGTAACCCCTACATGTCCCTATACAAGCCCTTATAAGCTTCAAAGCAGGCCCATAATTACCAGGCCGGGCTGACATCTGCCGTAGGTTCACCACAGGCTCACCGCAGACCTTTAGGACCCGCCGGTCGTTGAGGTAGCCGTAGCCAGCAGTTCGCCTTTTGGGGTTTAGGGTTTGGGGTTTAGGTTCTAGGGTTTGCTTGAGGAGTTGTTAGGGTTCAGGGCTAGGGTTGGAAGGGCTCCAAGTACATAAATGGACCTACATCTGTTGCTGAAGTCTTTAACTGGCACCTACATTGCACTCTTTGGAGTCAAAGGGTTTGTTCAAGGATTTTGCGCCTTAGGCTTCAGCATTTCGGATGGCTCGAGATGGGAGGTAACAAAGCTGGGATATAGGAAACACGACCAAACATCATGGAAACTACAATAGACATCCTTTCACCCAGCTACCTTCATCCCACTGTTGAGCCCTGTGAGTTTGGAGGGTACAAGGGCTTGGAGTCAGCAGCTCGCCATCGGTCCTCGGCTGGGACGTCGTGGAGAAACCTGCTAACACGGCACATGTGTGTAAGTCGGGCGAAGGCTACTTCCACCCAAACTGGGCTTGAGGTGTCAACCGAATCCCCAGGGGAAGGTGCAACAGTGGCCTGGCACCCGTCTGCACCTGTCCCCTGGTTCACACTGGCGACATACAGGATGAATTGCTGCGCAAGGCTTGGTGTTAGGAAGAGGTCGCAGGCAAGCCACTCAGGTTCACCCTGTGCAGCAGGTGAGCTCACCCCGCATGACCCCCCGTACAGACCCTATATAATTATATAACCTCTGTAACCCCCATAAGAACTGTAGTGGCCCTACTACAGAGCCCCAAGGGTCGATACGTGCGGCTGAAGGTTTAGGGTTTAGGGTCCCACGAAGCCTAAACTCTAAACCCTGAACCCTAAGCTCTAAACCCTAAACCCCCTGCCCTCAAGAAGGTCTGAGCGAACCCCAGTTTACCAAATGGGGCTTAAGGTTAGCCTCGAGGGTTTTAGAGTTTAGGCCCTAGGGTTGGTTTTGTGTTTACTGCGCCAGGGCTCCTATGTTGCTTCTTTTTGGGAGATATATGTGTTTACCTACTCCCCACTATACTACTCCCCTCAAGGTTCCCCCTGAATTAACCTTGATTAAGCCTGATTACCCTTAAATAGCCTTAATTAAGGGGTGAACCTAGGGGGCAGTATAGAGGAGGGTGCTAAGGGCACCAATGACAAAATCAGGCTTAGCCAGCCGGGACTTCCCTGAAGCCTACCCCCATTTAAAGATGCATGCGGCAAACAGCGAGACCAGGGGGTCTCCGAAAGAGGTTATGTAGGAACAACATTGAAAAACCCCAGAAAGCCCAATATCCCTTGATTGAGCAACAGAGTCTCATACTAGGGATCCTCGTATACTTTAGGGGAATTCAGTAAATCAAGGAGATTAGTCTTTCTGGGAACTCTCGTATCAGCAACCGCAATCTTGAATCACACAGCCCAGAGGGCACCCCCCAGATTTCTCCCAAAAGCAAGGAAGTCAACATGTAGCTTTTCTTCAGGAAGCTGTTCCATGACCTTTGGGAAAAACATGAGTCTAAGCCCGAGAGGGCATCACAACGTTCAGCAGGTGACCATCACTAAATAATGGCCTCCTGATGTACTGCCTCCAAACATGAGGATGTTTCTGGAACATTTTGCCGGGGAACCGTGGTACTAAGACAATCTAGAAACCAACCGTAGACCGTAAACCCCCAAACCCCTAAACCCTCGGCATTGTCTATGTCCTCAGCCTGGAGCTTCTCAACCTCGTCCCCATACACTACCTGAGGGAGTGCCTCTGATCCCTACAAACTCCCGGCGTTGACTCCTCTACAGTCATTATGGGACTGGATTTGAGAACCCACGTACGACCACATGACCCCTTCATGAAACACTATCTGAGATGCTGGCTTGGAGGGAAAGCACTTGCTGAGCACCACGACTTCTTCCTGCATAGCAAAACGCTCAGCTAAACTTCGCCATATGGGGGGCTTCCCAAAGTTGAGGGTACCTTTTTGGGGGTCCCTATAATAAGGATCATCGTGTATTGGAGACTACATTGGGGGCCCCCTATATTATCAGGAACTAGTTTAGGGTTTAGGGGTTTAGGGCTTTCGGTCTAGGGTTTAAGTTCCCGGGTGTATGTCCTACATAGTTTAATGGACGTGGGTCCCTTCTTAATGATTATCTAAGGGACTATGCTAAACTACAAGAGGGACCTCCAATGTCCACTGTTAAGGGTCTCCTGGTTAGGGAAAATGTTGACAGTAACCCAGACCCATGATTAACAACCCCCCCCCCCCTTAATAGGGAGTATAATAAGGATCCTAATGTTTAGGTCCTGAAAAGGAGGGTGTTTATTAATCATGGGTCTACATTAGCTCATATGTGGCACGCCTTCCTCTGGTTGCTGCCTCCTGAGATTACGAGGATGGGCTATTAGACCCTAAGAGTACCTTACTCTACCCTTTTTAGGGTACTAATTGGGATTTTTCCGGTCTAATATCTCAAGAGGAAAGGGTTAAGTTCCTGTCGCAAGCTGCGATAGAGTTGACTCTTTTTGGGATATCCGAAATCCCCCTGAACCCCCAAACCCCTAAACCCATAACCCCTAAACCCCTGACACCTAAACCCCTAACCCCTAAACCCCTAACCCCGTAAACCCCCCCTAAACCCTAAACCCATGTGGTTGGGCCTAGTCCTGCCTAGTCTCTTGTTTTTTCCCCAATGTTTTGAATGATGCCCAGCCCACCCGGCATCTTGCGAAAGGTATAGAGTTTAGGGTTTAGGCATAGGGTTTAGGGTATGCACCTGTGGTAGAAGTTAGAAGCATCCTGGGAAACATTGAGGACGGCAAGTTAAGCCTGCAGGAAACCTTGGGTCCTGCCCCCACCCATTTCATCTCCTCCCAAATATGAAAGCCCACCACCCCCCTAATACTAAATACTTACATTCTGTGGTATAGTGCAACATATTGGGAATATTTAAAATTAGAAGGGGGGCGGGTTGAATTTCAGGGGGAGGGCATTATAATAGGGGTCATATTGAGGGCTCTTATATTATGAATATTATCCAACTGTTAATGCGTGGGGGCAGTATCCAAGGTAGGCCTGTCAATGGTCAACTTCCAGTTGGTTCAGCGAGGGCCTTTAGGAGCCCCTAATTCTAGGTACCCCTTAAGGCTTTGGGGTTAAGGCTTTAGGGGTTTTAGATTCTAAGGCTAAGGGTGTATAGGGTTTAGAATTCATTAGCGCCGAAGAGCATAGCGAAAGTTGAAATTCTAATGACGTGGAGGTGCCAGCGCTTCATGATTGGCTGATGCTTACCAGGATGAGCTATTAGACCCGAAGGGTACCTTAATCTACCCTTATCAGGGTATTAATAATGGGCCAGAGTGGTATTCCTTTTGTACGAGAAATTTAACCCAGGCACACCCCTCATGTTAGATATGTCCCCAAATACATACGACCTCGCATGAGGATAACATTTGGGGTGGGGGTGTTTTATGCCAGTGGGGATTGGCTGGAATGGGGAAATGGGCTGTTGGGATCAGCATGGTGGATCTTATCTGGTAAGGAACTTAAATAAACTTCCGGCTGTCAGGAAACATATGAAGATTCTTTACTAGATACCCACATTATGGTAATTTCAACCCTCAACAAAAAAAGGCCTACAGACCCTGTACACCCATATCCTGCTAACTTATTTTAAGGTTCTCGACAGTAACAGGAAGCCGAAGTATGGGCATCGGCCCCATGTTGGGAGACTATATGAGCCATGGTCTAAACTCCTAATGTCCCCCGTACTAAGCCCTATAATAGTCCACTATATAATCAATCCTCTATATAACCCCCTCTCAGGAGTTAAGACCCTAAACCCTAAACCGTATGTAACCCCCCTTAACGAGTTTACTCTATATGAGCCCTTGTCTAAACCCCTAGTATCCCCCTTAATACCCCCCATAATAGTCCCCTATATTATCCCCTACATAAACCCCTTTAAGGAGTTTAGAGCCTAAACCCTATAATCTCTAAACCCTAAACCCTGAATCCCTTATATAGCTCCCCTTTAAGGAGTTTAGACTATAGCTCATATATGAGACCTTTAAGAGGGAGCTTCAGGGAGGCCTGAAGGAGCTCCTAATTCTGAATCCCCCTTACCTGAACCCTAGAAGTATGTAAAATACTGGCCTTTTGGGCTATTGTTCTAGATTTTGGGCTATTATTTTACCCATTTTCGGGGTTTAGGTAAGGCTTCTGGGTTTAGAGTTTCAGGTTTAGGGTTCAAGGTTTAGGGTTTAAAATTTAGGGTTCAGGGGGAGCACTAGTATATTAGTACTAGTGATGTGGTACATGTCATCGCAGTCGAGTCTGCGGATGCCCGTGCAAACTTTCCTCACACCTGGACAACGGACACCCTCAGTTAGAAATTGACTGCGTATATTTAGTGTTCACATGCCGGGCAGTTAGTGACGAGATCATGCCTCTAGCTGCTTTTTTGCTGCCAACGGCTTCAAAAGCCAAATTCCAAGACACCAAGCCCTAAACCCTTGTCCTCTGGTACGTTGCGGAAGCCCTCGGACACGAGGTTAGCAAGCTCCACCGGAGCATCTTCCCTCCAATGCTCCCCTTGGCATATAGGGATTTCGTGTTGAAGGTCTTGGGCCTTGGATTTCATGACAGGAGCCATTCTACAGTTTCAAGGGGCCATGCGGGGGCAATCAACCCTTCAGGACGGCGTCAAATCACAGCATGACCTACACCTGAAAACCTCATCAGCACTAAAACCTAAACCCCAAACCCTAAACCCTCAAAGCACGACCTAGCCCTGGAAGTCCCGAATCTTGAAGGGGACCGCATATGAGCTATAGTCTAAACTCCTAGTATCCCCCTTAATGACCCCTATAGTAGTCCCCTATATAATACCCTATAAAACCCCCCTACAAGGAGTTTAGGCTATGGCCCATATAAGGGGAGCCAGAAGGAAGGACTCCCTAAGACCTCCGTGAAGTCTCGCGGTTTCCCAAAGCTGCTGATTGCCTCCCATGGTCTTCTAACGTGAAGACCGCCTAAATGCCCTGAGGGTCCAAGTACCCAATAATCATACACTTACCCAAAACCTGTACTATAATTACTATTACCCAAAGCCCAAGTACCTAATTATTGGGTACATGGACCCTCTGGGATGGAGTCCCCTTGGCTTCATCCCAAACAAATCCGCGCATCCTCGAGTGGAATTGCGGATATGAATCCTGGTCTTGACATATGCACCAGGAATCTACGTCCGCCATGTCTGCTGCTACTGTGCGTTCAACGATGCAACATTTATGTGAGCCATAGCGAAGGGTTGTGGGACTGAATAGCAGGTTTGGAGTTTCCAACGCATGCTGCAGTGACCCGTGCTTTCGACTTTCCATCAGGCTCTTCAACCGTGCTGGCCACGTCATACGGGTCTTTGGCCCCTTCAGACTTACCGCTCCATTCTATAGAGATTCTCTCAAAGATCCCCATACAGTCCCTGAAGAGATTTCCCATGATCGTCTTTCATTACACCCGAAACCCTAGACCGCTACACTCCTAAACCTCCGAAGCCTAAACCCTAAGCCGCGAGTATGCCTATTTCGAGTTACATCCATTTGAGCCATAGTCTAAACTCCTAGTATCCCCCTTAATAACCCTCATAGTAGCCCCCTATATAATCCCCTATATAACCCCCTTTAAGGAGTTTAGACTATAGCTCATATTCAAAAGACAAGTCTGGATGCATATTGCCAACTCAGCCTTTGGCATCTAAAGCCTCTCAGGGTTTAGGGTTTTAGTTTCAGGGCTGAGGGTATAGAGTTTTGGGGGTTTAGAGTTTTGACCAGGCTATACCCTTATTAATGGCCCTATCATTTGGGTCCTTGCACCCTTAGGGATACCCTGCATATGCTTAGCTAGCCCATGGTCCATTATGCTTGCTCATTTCGAATTACGGGTGCAGGGCTTAGAAAACAGCAGGGTGTTGCGGAATATACCTACCTATACCCCAAACCCTTACTTACAAACCACGATTGCTTTTCCTAAACCCTACATGGTAGCTTCCGCTTCGCTACCCATGTGATTCCCCCTTTGGTTATCCATTCTTGCCGTCGTATCCCTAAACTGCAGGCAACCCTAAACCCTAAAGCCTAAAACCCTAAACCCTAAACCCTCAACCCTAAACCGTTTGTAGTAGGCCTGCGCCCTCGCCACTCACAAGACACCTGCAGAGCCCTGCCTTTCCCGAAAGTCCAAGTACCCCAATCCCAGACGATCCATGTACCCAATAATGAGGTACTTGGGTTTTGGGTAGTAGTAATTGTGGTACAGGTTTTGGGTAGGTATATAATTATTGGGTACTTGGACCCTTAGGGAATAGTGACTGAACATTGGGCCCTCAACTTTTAGGGTTTAGGGTGTAGGGTAAGCCCTAAACTCTATACCCTCAAAAGGGGTGTTCAATGTTAGTACACAGGGACAAGATTGTAAAACTGTACCCCCCCCCCTCCCCTCCAGGTACCGAAGAGAATGAGGTACTTGGAGCGTTGGAGGGTTGGGAACGGGAGTTATGCTATAGGTTTTGGGGAAGTGTATGGTTATTGCGTACTTGTGCCTTTTGAGTACCTGCCGTCTTCGCCCAAAACACAGAAGTCCGATCCCCAATTCTTTAGTTCATGGGGCCCAAAACCCTAGACTTTTAACCCTAAACCGCGTCACGGGTTCAGGGCTTCAGCGTTAGCCCCCTTGGGCCTGATGGGCTATTTTGATCCCTGGACCCAATCTTGCTATTCAGGGTTTTGGGTTTAGGGTGTAATGACTCCTTAAATAAGGATACCCTAATTTCGGGAACCCCATATTTGATCTTGGGGTTGATGTCGATACACCAATGTTTTACGCCAACAACATGACCTATCTGGTTGAATCCGTAAAACATCCTCCTTTGCGACTTTTAACCACGCCTGCCGCTCTATAACCCCCTGCTACAACCTGAATTACAATTAGGGGACCATCCCTGCAAACTCCTTACTGTAAGCCCAAAACCCTACATACATCTATACATCCCTATAACCCTAAGGGTCCAAGTACTTGAATATTGGGTACTTGGGATTTTGGAATTGAAAGAGTAATTGTAGTGCAGGTTCTGAAGAAGTGTATGAGTATTGGGTAGTTGGACCTTTAAGGTAAAATCCTAAACCTCTACCCTAATATCCTCATACATATCCGAGGCACAGCAGACTTCGTGGGATCATAGCGTATGCTGTAGGGGGTCTAAATATTCGCCAATATCATCGTGAGGTCTATTTGATATTCCCGTACAAGCGTTCCATAAAACTTTCGGGCTTAGGGTTTAGGGGAATAATATGCAAGCAACTTAGGACAAGAATGTTGGTAATCATTTAAGCCCCTACAGTACACTGCTAGTGTAAGGCGCAGACCCCACTCCTGCACATAGGGCCTGGACGCAGAGGCATTGCTCTGGGATTAGCTAGGAAGACCCACCAATTTGTAATAGCGACAAGAAAGGATAATGAGGATTAGATTAGGGTCTCATTCTATTCCTATTACACCACTATTACAGGGTGGGGGGTCCTCACTTAGCAGGTAAGGGTTTACGTGGACTTTCCGATGTAATCCTTTCGAGGTCACATACGCACTTTGGTTGAGGCAGGACCCCCATACAACATCGGATGGTCTAGGTAAGACTTATTACAACCTTAGTGCGTTCTCAACGCCAACG